TCGGTAAATCTGCGACAGAGACGTTTGATATGATCAAACAGGTTTACCCAGGTGTTGCTTTAGCAAGAAGTGGTGTGTTTCGGTCGCACCAGGCCTTTTTGGAGGGCCAGGAAGAGGTCGCTGATGAAGACCGTGCTGGAAGACCGTCGATATCGACAAACACCGATAATAATAATAATAATGATAATGTGTCTTTATTCAACTTTGCATACATAAAATAAAACAAAAGAATGATATCTTGAAAACCGCAAAAGTGCAAAATTGAAAAGGTGGAGTGTTACCCCAGGGGTATTTTTCAACTCAACCTCAAGTAAAAAATTGTATCTGTATCATGAACATACACATATCATACAATAATAGAGATAAACATAAGTATTAATGATAGTCATAATAACTGTTCTGTAACCTAGTGCCCAAGAGAAAGGAACTAATCATAAAAAAAAGAAAAAAAAAGTGAGCTTCAGCTCATCCATTTAACTACCATAACTTTCTCAATGAAACGTAGGATTAAAAGTCTTTTGTTGCTGGTGTAGCTACCAACGTCCTATCAGAAAATCTTAATACATTTTTGAAGGTAACGAAAAAGTATTTTGTATCAACAATTAATAGAACAAGCATGAAAGAGAGACAAATAGAAAAGTAGTGGGCGTAAACAGAGTTGGCATATTGGATCCTTCACACTTCAGACAGATAGAAATTCTTTAGCTTTTTCTTAAAGTTCAATAAAGAGAAGTCATAAAAATCATTTGGGAGACAATTGTATAGTTTGGCTGCGTTATATGAAAAGCTGCGTTTAAAGGTTGATGTTGAGTGGGGTGGTATAACGATCATTCGCCTATTTCTAGTATATAATGTATTGATATTTTCAAACTTTGAAATTCTATCTAAAAGGTATTCCGGCTTTTTGTTCACGAGAACTTTGTGGATTAGTGATAGGAAATGCAATTTTCTCAATCTATCTAAACTTAGAATGTTGTGTTGTTTGAATATATGGCTTATGTGATCAAACTTTCTTATACCAAAAGAGAAGCGCAGACACGAATTTTGTACTCGCTGTAATTTTAAACAATCATTTTTTAAAAGAGCCGGGCCATATATGCTGTCACAGTAAGATAGGCGAGAAATTATAAGGGCATCAAATAACTTCATTTTCAAGCTACTATTTAAAACACGACGCTGTGGATATAATTGCTTAAGCATAGGCTGAGGAGGAAATTTTATTGACATGGACACTAAATCGCAGATCTGAATCAAACCACAATCCCAAATTTTTGCTCTCACCCACTACAGGTAATGTTATGTTATTAATGTTCAGATTAAACGAATGCTCAGAAATCATACGTTTTTGTTTAGAGCATTGCCTTTGATTTGTTGGCATTAACGCTTAGATTACGTGCAATTGATATATTGTATAACATATTAATATCGTCGTTAATCAAAGAGTAGGAGACCCTTGTGGTGCACCCATTGTAATCATTCTTTTATCAGAAGATGAAGAGTTTACAGATACGTATTGGTACCTACCAATTAAGTAGTCCCTTATTAAATTTACCGCATTATCTGCAAATCCAAAGTACTTCAGCTTCATGCACAGTATATCATGATCTAGGGTATCAAAGGCTTTACTAAAGTCCAAGAGAATTAAACCCATAACATTACCTTTGTCAAGTGATTTATAGAAGTCATCAACTATACATGCCAGTGCAGATGTCGTATCATGTTGGGGTCGAAATCCAGATTGGATGGGTGGTATAATTTTGTTGGTCATAACAAATTCCGAGATTTGCTGCCTTATGACCGTTTCCAATAATTTGGAGAGTATTGGTAAAATACTGATTGGTCTCAGATCTTTAATATCTTCTACTACAGATACCTTGGGAATTGGGATGATTTTTGAAATCTTCCACGCTTCTGGAAAAATGGAGTTTAATAAACAAAAGTTAATAATATAGGTAATGTGGTACAGTAGATGATCCTCAAAAACATATAGCTTTTTCTTGGAAATACCATCATGTCCTGCTGCATCAGATTTAATGCTTCTTATGTTTTTTGAAATTAATGCAACATCTACTGAAGTGAATGAAAACAAGTTGTTACTGCGAGGTTCTTTGTATGCATTTAACAAATCTTGTTGAGACTGAGTTCTATGAACTTTGGGTAGATTTGAAAAGTAAGCATTTAATGTATCTGGATTAGAGAGCTGATGAGGAATGGAATTTGTACTGTTTTTGACAACTCCTATTTGACGTAGCCGATGCCAAGTCATTTTTATATTTCTCTGTTTCAGAGAAAATTCAATATAAGCTTTCTGCTCACGCTGTATGGCCCCTTTTGTATAATTTCTGAGTTCCTTATAATAGTCCCAGTGAGAAGATTGACGACTTATTTTGAACTTACAAAAAGCTTTGTCGCGCAATTTCATTAGAAGCTTTATATTATCCGTGATCCAAGGTGTAAAGTTTCTGGTGCATATACAGGGCAACACATATCGAAAAGACGTATTAATTCTCTAGTTAAGAATTCGACCATTAAATTGACATTGTTGAAGGTATAAATTGTATCCCAATTAATAAAATGCAGCATATTATTAAAAAATTCATCATTGAAATGCTTCCAGGAGCGGGCCTTAATGACTCTTGGCGGATTTGAAATCAAGTTTTTCTCAAAGATGTGGCACGAAACTAAAAAATGATCAAATGTGTCATGCAGGCTTAGAGCTTCATGGAAACTAATATTTTACGTTTCACTAACTATAATAAGGTCTAACAATGTCTGTGAAGTAGGAGTTATTCTAGTAGGGACATCGACTATTTGTTTCAAGTTATATAAATCAAACAATTTATTCAATTTCTGAACAGCTGTGCCTTGGTTGAGAAAATCGATATTGAAGTTTCCAGTAATACAAATTTCTTCACAGCTAGGAATCATTTGGGAAAGAGACTCACCCATAGCATTGAGAAATTCAGTGATATTGCCTTTAGGAGGCCTATAAATGACACCAAAAATGTGTACCTTGCCTGCTCCATAACTGCTGATTACTACATTTATGTAACGTAAAATATTTGATGTTATTTTTCACATAGAACAATAAACCTCCTCCCCTGCTGTCTCTGTCTACCCTCTCTACCTGATAATTATTCACTCCTATAGCATCAGAGCTGATATTCCTAGACAGCCATGTTTCTGAAACACCTAAAACATCTACATCAGAAGTTAAAATGTAATTTTTTAATGTTTCTAGTCCAGAAAATATAGATCAAACATTTAAATGTGAGAACAGCATCGCATACAAAAGAAAATCAGTAAGACATGTGTGATACCAATGAAATCAAAGAAAGATACTACACATTTCTAAGATATACAGATAAAACAACTAGTGATGATTGAACATGATAAAGAAATCTAGATAGATCAGTAGCGTCACAATACTTAAATTATCACACTTCAAATAAAAGTCGCCGTATTTCACTCAATTAGACTTGGATTGACTCTGCAGTCTAGTTATTCTCGGGGGCTGGCCTTTAGAATTCGGTTTAGCAGGTTCCTGTCTCGCCTTCTTAGCCGGTGGTTTGCTGTCGGGTGAGATGCTGGCGCGTGTGACAGAGTTCTCTGGTAATATGTTGATTAACTCATTCTCACTGGGTTGGTCAAATTCGTCGCCAATCGGATCTATAATAGGTGTAGTTGGAGCGCTCGTGTTATTGTCTGACTGCGTCATGAACCTATCTCCTTCTAACTGATGATCAGTGTATGCGTCGCCATTGATGATCAGTTTGTTGCCGAATATTGTTTCTCCTTCGCTGCTTTCCGGTGTTTTTGAAGGATTCTATTTGTTTCTTGATCTGTTGGGCATAGATCGTGTACAACGAATACAGAACTGTTTTTAAGTTTGTGTACGTTCTGGAAAACCTCCTGCTTTTTGAGGTATGACACGAACTCAATTTTTATAGGACAGCTCCTACCTGACTTAATACTATAAATATTTTTAAGGTCTCCAGTGGATATATTTATTTTTAACAGTGCGTTTAATTTCTGAATTGCTGTACTTTGGAAGCTAGTGGTCCTTGTATCAACTTCTAAGCCAAACAGAAGTATGTTGTTTTTTCGTATCGCCCTTTCCAGCTGTAAATTTTCTTTCTCCAAATCCTTATACACTGTGTGTAAATGATCTATTTTTGTGTCTTGTTGTTTTATATGTTCCAGCAGATTCGTGTTTTTTCTTCTAATTTCTTGGATATCTTGTCTAATCTCATTCTTAACACGTTGGCTGCCGTGAGACACAAATGTGGCGTCTCAGGTTGTTTTCGATAACAGCCGAGTGACACACCTTAGTTGTCTCGTCAGAAATTCTGTAATATAGCCGTGTGAGCCTGGGTGGTTGTCTCAGTCCTATATAAGTAATATGGGACTGAAAGATCACGGCTGTAAATGTCTAAAACTGTTTTTGGTTTTTGGATCCGTGACCTATAAGTGGTTACTCATGGCCTGATATATACGTAGATAATAAAACGAAAGGTATTCAAAAAGGAACCTCCTTATGAAGTAGAATACAACAAAAAATATATTTCTCATAAATATAGAACAAAAAACATGAAAATGTATAATAAAAACAACAATTATTTTGTGCGCTTATGTACCTGGAAAAAACACTCAATGCAAAAATATTTTTCACATGACGTGCACTTTAGTTTTGTTCGCGGAGTTTTTCTTTGAGCATGTGCTCGCCCAGATTCTCTTTGAAGTTTTTCATAACAAAAAGCGCATCGACGTCGGTTGTTGGTACCAACATCTTCCAAAGAATGTTGATGATCTTCAAAAATACTATGCGTATGCTGATCAACGTCAAAGCCTAAGAGTCTGTTTACGATTTCCTGCTTGAATTTTGTGATGGACATTTTTTCGTTGGCTACTTCTTGGTGCAAAACATGTGCATTTACTAATGCACTACCAATAAGAAGCTCAATGGCCAGCTTGCGGTACCACTTCACCCCTCTGCGTAATTAGGTGGCATAAGACTTCATTTGATCCGACAAGTCAATATAGGCTTTATGTTTGTTGTAGTCAACCACAGCAGCAGGTTTTTGCAATTCTATATTATTGCCAGATCTGATGATTAGTAACTCATCGGTGTGTTTTGTGGATAAGGTAAGCACATCTCTTTTGTCCTTCCACTTCTGGATAATTATACCTGAGTTGCTTTCAGCTGCCCCAGTTTCTCCTTTTTTGAGCTTTTTATCAACAACTTGTTTAGGATTCATTTTTCGATTGGATCGGAGAGTCCCAACCAAGTGAGTGTTCCTTGCAAGTAATGCACTTGCCAACTCGATACTTGTATAATAATTGTCCGTATGTCCGTCCCTTGTCAAACAAGTCCTTTGCAAGAGTGAGCACTACTTTTTGGGATGAAGATTGAGCCTCTACACAAGTTTTATAGATTCTTAGGAAGACTGGAAAACATCTGATGAACACCGCATAAACTAGACTGAGACATCACTGATAGCATTCGCTTCTAATACATTGTTCGGCTCGCACCGGTCGACAGGTCGATACAAGTCGGTGAGACACAACATTTGTTGCACGCGGCCATTGGGTAAAACTTCATATGTTGAGGCCGCGTGACCATGCGGTGGGTCTCATCAAGAAACGTGAAAAAGAGTTTTTTTTTGGGAACACAAAACACGCGCGGGTGTTCTAGTATACTAAAACTAGTATTTGGAAGAAAAAAAAAAGGTGGCCCCAGGGACCGATTTTTTTTTAGTATTACGGCAGTCAACCTGTTAATAGCATCACTTTCCTTTTTTATTATTGCTACCAATTCTGATAGCAGCTCGCTGTTACTCAAGTCGCCACCACTGGTCATGAAGACAAAAAATAATAGTACACAACAAGCGATTTGCGTTTTAGAGGAAACTGAGCCTTATGTGATGAGTAATCATTCGCACTAGTTCTCCAATTATCAAATTTTATTCATAAATGACGACTTACTGCTTTAACCTTTTTGTATCATGTATGACATCTTTATGATTAGCATACACGGTCTCACAGTTAAATTTTGTCCACTAAAACTAGACTTTTTTGAGAGAACTGAAAACGCTACCATACACTTTGTACGCGAACTCACACCGATAATGTGACTCGTGTGCGCAAAGTTTTGAAACTCAGTCCGTCGACTAAGTATTCGTTTAATTGCCCAGATGTTAAATTTACCAAAATCTGTGGTTCATGACATTGTGACACAGCATTTGAACATGCGTAAGGTGTGCGCGAAGATGGTCTCAAAAGTGCTCACTGACGACCAGAAATTGCGGCGAGTGGAAGTGTGCCAAGAAAACTTGAACATGTGCGAAAGTGACCCCCAATTTTTGAATAACGTAATCACAGGTGACGAGTCGTGGATCTTTGAGTATGATCCCGAGACAAAGAGGCAATCATCCGAGTGGCACACGACGGCGTCTCCTCGCCCAAAAAAGGGAAGAATGAGCAAATCCAAAGTGAAAACGATGCTCAGTGTCTTTTTTGACATCAAAGGCATCGTCCACCATGTATTTGTTCCCCCTGAACAAACCGTCAACGCCAAGTTTTACGTGGAAGTGCTCAGGAAACTCAAAAAAAGGGTCAGTCGGGTCCGACAACACATCGAAGCCGTCTGGAAGTTGCACCACGACAACGCCCTGGCTCACACCGCCTTTCATGTGAACAGCTACCTGACCAAGGCCGGCATCCCAACCCTTCCGCAGCCGCCCTACTGCCCAGATGTGGCCCCCCCGGACTTTTTTTTGTTTCCTCGCCTGAAAAGGCCGATGAAAGGCAAGCATTTTGAGACGGCAGAGGGGATCCAAGCAGCATGCACCGCGGTTCTCAAGGCTATTCCGGAGAATGCCTTCCGTGACGCCTTCAATGCTTGGAAATCGCACTGGCAGCGCTGCATCGACGCAGAAGGAGCCTATTTTGAAAGTTTTTAAAGAATTGTAACGATTGGCTCAATAAATTTTTTTAAATCGACTCAGTCCTATTACTTTCCGGACAAACCCTGTACTTGTATCGATCATGAACTATCCCCGATTATTATATTCTGCTCCTAATTTTCTAAGCTCTGGACGGTCGGATAAAAAAGTTTTCCCTTTCTAAAATGCTGTATCTTCCCATCGAGCGATACAAGCAGCGCTTTTGCTCTGCTGACGCAAGTCGCTTAACTCAAACTCAATCATATTTTGTGCTGGAAGCAGCACTTTTCATCACACGTCTTTTCCTGTTGCTGTATTATATCAAAAGAGTTGACAAAGACGTCTCGGTCAAACCACTCTCGGGGTGAATTGAGGTTTTGCTGCAAAAAGGTTTAAAAGCACGTAATGGGAAGTTACTACAGGGTCTCCTCAAATAGTTTGCTTACCATGAAGTAAGCTGTATGTAGCATCTGTGTATGCATTTCTCTATCACAGAGTGTTCAAGGTTACAATTTACATGGATAGTAATGTCGACAGATACATTTCAGCATTTATCTTTCACAATTTCGTTTCGCATTTTTGCGGATTATCAGTATGACGGAATTTCAACACCTCAGGTAATTTGAAACAGCGAAGTCAATAGCTGAGTCATCACTATGTTGGGGAAAAGTATGTTTACTTTCTAAGCCTACTGGCGGAGTGAGGGTTATCTCAATTTGTTTGACTTCAGTATGTTTATCCCCTCCCAACCTCGGTAGTTCTTAGCATCTACTAGACATATTTCTCACACATCCTAGATTGCCCCGTACATTTGCCCCTCAATCGATGATAGAGAAATGCTTTCGATACGCGTCCCCGCTTCTTCTATCTGGGATCACCGGCGTGCGTGCCGATCTTGGTGAGTGCTATAGACTTACTGTTGTGCTGCCACATCTGACGCGTTGTATTGTCAGGTATTGGGGTAAGGCGACGTTGCCAAATGGACTCTTCGTGAGGAAGGGTCAGAATATATTTGGATGTAATTGTGTCAGCCTGTTTGAATGGCTCCGCTGAATTTATTTAATTTCTTTGATATACACGTTTATCATCATTTTTTCTCTAACTTGAGTTGAACAAAATTCTTTATGAACTGAAGACGGCGTTGCGATTGAAGAGCAGAGTCAACCTACTTGACGCTAGTTTTCCATTTGACAGTGTCTAGAAACAAATGCAAATTTAAAAAAATATCATTTTCGCAGATCGAACGAGGAATGAAAAAATGTTATGACACAACAAGCGTTCCAGTATCTCTGGAACTGGCGGACCGGCGAGCTCAAAATCTGAACGTTTCTGTATGTTGATCAGCTTATAACTCGACAACGAATACTTAGAACCCTATACTATTAATACTTTCACAATGTGACTGGAATTTATAGCACCCTGTATATTGCTGGATATGTGCTCTTAGATAAGGTGTACTCAAATCCATAAAGACTTTTTCTGAGCTTTGCGCTCAAGAACTATGCTTATTTCACGCCACTTGGCTCACCTTGTATAGGAAAGCATGCATACGAATATTAGAAAAGAAATAATTTTCCACAAAAATCAATTCTCTCCTCTTGATACGTTTTTATTAAATCGATTTTCATTAAAAAGAAGGACATTTATTTTTTGGTAATATATTTTTCTTCATTAATGTCTCGATACTAAGAAAATCGTCCCGCGGTAGAGATTTAGATTTTTCACCCTCACAATTTTTGGGCGATATTTACTGAGCTATTAAGTAAGAGGTCATTTTAGTTTCTGATTAACATTGACGCTATCGTGGATCTCGCATTGTAACTCGTAATTGCCTCATATTTGCTTGGAACGTGCGAATACAAGAAAATTTGAGTTACGAGCTCAAACTTCAGCGCACACACCAGAGCTCTTAAGCTCGGAGCAGAGAACAATTCCAACTTTTAGGAATTAAGTTGCTCTGTATTAATATGTTTACAACGAATAATGTATTTGCCTGGAAATTGTGTATACGTTGTACCGTTACTATAGGTACAGGGATGAAATTGGATTGGCATATTCTACTTATTCGACAACTGTGCACTTTTATAGAGATTTTGGTGTGTACGTGTTTCTCTGAACGCATTTTTATTTCCAGGCCTAATTACTACTATGCAATATGGGTTGTCCACGGAAATGAGCCGAGGAATTTCCAATCCACATCAAACAGTTATTGAGCAAATTATAGTTTCATTAAGCTTAATTTGTTGTTATGGAGACAATAGCTGAAATATTCCCTCGTCACTGGCGAGGAAGTATTGTAATCACGACAAGATCTAAAATGAGATATTACGTTTTTTGGATGTTATATCACGAAAAATCATATCACTCATTTCCGTCTGTCTGTCTGTTAATCCTTAGCTGCTCAATAACTCGAAAAGTAATGCTTTAATATTGTGCTGAGGACGGAAACGATGTGCAAATTCAGTGGCAGCGGATTTATAGTTAGAAAGCGCGAAAAAATCGTTGAATTTCGCTTTTAGATGTTTCCAAGGACCCTGCACATTTTTGGACATTCTTTTGAGAAGTAAAACTTGGACGTGACGGGTTGTAGGGGTGGGGAACGTATATCTGAATTTTTTGCGCTAGTGTATTCATACGCTTCTAGCCCCGGTAATTTTAATATCATATACACATAGATTTCCTCGTAGATATTTCATTTATAGATCCCCGTATATCCCACAAGACATTTTTAATACCTGCATCGATCGCAACGTTGTCGGACATTTGTGAAGAGACTGGGGACTAATTACTGTATGTGCCTTATTGACTAACACAATCCAATTAATTCGCTTGTTATAGTATCAAGCTTTACTCAAGAGGAGCTAACTTGTACCGAACATAATATTTTATGAACTACTTCTATTTTTGTTGAATGTGTTGTAATGGATTCTGTGTGAGAGTTTATCGGTATTGAAAACAAAATAAAGTAGCAGAGTACTAGCCAGCTCTCGATACACAGATGTTTTCTTTGGCTCAGGTTTTCCATCACTGGCTAAATTTGATTTTGCTGCTATGCAGAACTGAACTCCCCAAACGGATTTTTCGATATTAGGTATTTAAGCTTAACCAGAAGACCGAGCATTTCAAAACGCACAGAACAGAACAGTTCAGACGCAGAAAAGCGTTGCCAGATCAACGGTTAAGTGTTGGTCAAACCAGGTTTGAAAAACGAACATTGGGGCAACTAATAGGTAACTCATAAGTTATTGTTATCAAAAGCTTGGAAGATAACTAGTCATAGTAGGAATGAGAAGCTAAAGCCTGTCAGATCCATC